CCCCCCCCCAGTTCACTATTAAAGGTGTAACTTACCACTTTGGTCCTACTCTTCAGGAATTGCGGGCTGCTCTCTGAGTTTGTAACTGGAGCTCAGGTCCTTTGAAAAGAGACTGTTTGCAAACTCAAGTTTATTTGAACATGAAAGGAAAGATGCAGGGTTTTGTTGGAAGATTTTAGTGGAAGGTTGGACCCAGGATTTAATGACATTTATCTTGACTAGTCTGAAGTAATTAACCATGACATTTTTGAAAAAGGTTAAGGATTTCTTGAAAGGACACTGCAAATGACTTGAGATCAACATCTTCATAAATGATTGACTACTGGAGGATTTAGTCTTCGGTAAACAACATACGCACAAGCTCCGCTTTAAAACATTCTTCTTCAACCAGCTTCTGAGGCTGAAAGAAAAGTTAAAATGTTTTAGGGGCAATTCAAAAACCTGGTCTAGACTAGAGCTGTTTGTACATACTAACATTAGCCACACTCCAGCAGTTGTTTTTCCAGGGAGGGTGGGGAGGAACAAGCAGGGTAGGAATAACTGAAAGATGCCTGAGGGTTTTCTGGCCTTGGAATAGGCATTTCTAAGAAAGTAACTGCTAACTTAATAACATGCACAAGTTAAAACTTGAGCTGGTGTCCGTTTGAATCAGGAGTATACTGCACAGACCTTGTTTCACGCCTGTAATTCAGCATTTGGATTTTTTAAAGTTTGAGGAGCTGCAAGTCAGGAAGCTAACAATATGTTGCTAAGAACCTTCGCTGCCCCTCAACCACTACGTGCTAAGTGTACGTACTTTCTTTACCATATGTTTATTATAGGCAACATGATACAGAAAGCAGAGTGGTTCTCTCCTGAGGAACTGTTTGAGCCAGGAAGGGTGCATGGGTGAGCGTGGAAGAGCTGTTCCTAATTGCCTGCTCTTTTTAAACAAGAGGGGGGTATCAGAAAACGTGCGTGCCTAATTCATTCACGGCCATAAGCTCCTGCCAGTTTCCCACATGAATGCCTGTAGATCCAGAACGTACAATAAATCACTTACTGTTCCATATTTAAGTAGTGTAGGCACTCCTGTTAGTTTCAGATTCTTCCTGAACTCATTGTTGGGATCTTTCCAGCTGTTTGGGAAGAAGAGGTTAAACACAGCTTGTAGAAGTGCAGTTTGAAGTTAGCCTCTTACCATTCCTTCAACAGGATGATTCAGACGTCTGTGCCTTGCACCTCCCCAGCCCACCTCTCAGAACAAGCATGCAGACAGTTCAGTTAGGCATGGTCTAGACCACAAAACTCAGAGCAATGCTTCATTCCTTGCAGAAAAGGACAGTTCAGTCAGTTGTTCCAACAGGTTAGTTAACCTCCAGTCCACACATAGCAAAGTTAGGTCGGTTGGCATTAAAACAGTTACTTACTAGGCTCTGTCTCCTACTAGACAGTAGATGAATACAGACTCATCGGGCATGTTATGAAGTTCCTTCCTCACAACCGGTTCAGCTAGAGGGGAATTTTTAAAATCTATTAGTAGTTAATACTTCTGCTGTGCTACAGAATCACCTGGATCTACTCTGACCAGCAATACTAATTAATACTTTGCCTGCTTCAGGTCAGGATCTGTATTTTCTTTCATCTAGTTATCCACGAGCTCTGCTGAATTTATTCCATGCTCAACGTTGTAGTGACTCATTTTTGAGTAAAGGCCAATTTCTGCCTTAACAAGAACAATAATCGTCGTCTCCTGCCTCTATGGAAGCCCGTCAGAACAGTGGTAAGCAGCTGCCACATATGATCAGAAAGTTCAGCGCGATGTTTTCTGAGCCTTCGCTGCCAGACGCCGACGGGCGAGTCCCTTTGCCAGGTAAAGCTGAGGTGAGTCAAAGTCAACCGACCCCTGGATTCGCGTCCGACTGGGCCTCTGCTCCACCGGCGAGGGGCTAGCGGAGCGCAGCGCGGCAGGGTCAGCTCGCTGGCCAGGGGCCACCTCGAGCCTGGGGCCAGCTTTGCCGAGCTCCTAGTCAGAGCCGACGCGGCCAGGTCGCTTCAGCGGCCCGGTAC